CTGACTAAAGACCACACCACATGTGGAAAGGAAAGATTTATTAGGAAACAGACCAAAGGGCTATCACTCTTTTCGGGTTTAGAGTGAAGCAGCTTGGTTGGAATGAGTAGTGGGCTTTATAGGAGGGACCAAGCCATGAGGGAGGGAGAGAGTTTCTGGTCTCTGATTATCTGTGACCACCAGATGGAAGAGGTTGACATGCCTGGCTAGTTGAGTAACTGGAAGTTCCTGAGTTGTTTTGCAAGCCAAGAAACATGCAGGAAAACAGGCAAGGGAGAAACAAGCAGTCATAAATCAGGGGGTCTGGTTTCGGTGCTAGCCTCAGGACCTTCCACCCGCCCTAAGAATTCCAGGGACCTAACAATGGTGGGACTGTTTATCTCAGGGTGACAATATAGAAGTCTGCAGCCAGATCAGGCAAGAACTCAAATGTCATTCTAAGAAGTGTCTGAACTCCCTCCTTTTTACAGTGAGAACTATTGACAGCTTTAATAAGAAGAAAAACATGAGAGACATATTTCAGGAAGATTCATTTAATAAATTTAGTAAACATTTTTTGAGGGCCTAGTACTTTGTGTTCTTCTGCTCAGGTTTCAGTTCACAGAGACAGGCCCCTGTCTTCACAGAGCTTAGAGGGCTTGGAGACAGACAAGAGGCCAGGTAATTATGTAATGTGTAGGGCCTGATGGAGAAGTCTAGGGTATCAGAATGGCACATTAGAAGGGCACTTACCTCAATCTTGAAAGTGCTCCTACTCAAATCATGTAATCTGAGGCCTGGAGAAAGTGTTAGAGCTGCCCAGGTTATACCTGAGGGAGAAGAGCGCTCTAAAAGGAGAAACTGTAATTCTGCATGAATTTGGGATTCGACCTGTGTGACAGGCAGCCACTGAGCTGGCTCCTGGTCTTCATGCTCTTGTGTAGCTCCCCTGTCTTGAATGTGCACTGAATCTATTCACTCAGTACTAACAATATGACACAACAAGAGTGATGGAATGTCACATCTTAGATTAAGTTACAAAAAACGTGTGTCCTTCCTTCCTTCCTTCCTTCCCCCCTCTCTCCCTCCCTTCCTCCCTCCATCTCTCTTTTCTTGCTCTGATAGAAGCCTGCTGCCATTTTGTAAGCTGCCCCATGGGAAGGATGACATAACAAAGAACTAGGGACCCATCCAGCCAATGTCATCATGGAACTGAGGTCCTCAGTTTAATATCAGTTGAGGAAGTGAATCCTGCTGACATCCATGGGTAACCTTCAAAGCTGATTCTTCCCCAGGTGAGCCTTGAGAAGAAACCACAGCCCCAGCTGATATTTTACATCTTAATTGCAGTCTTGTGTGAGAGAGTTTGAGATGGTGGCACATCTAGCTACAGCTGCACCTGGATTTCTCAATCATAGAAATCATGAGATGACAAATGTTTGTTGTTTCAAGCTACTAGGTTTTAGAGCGAATTGTTGTGTAGCAATCAGTAACTAGCACAAACTGTATGGGGAAGAAACTTAAGTCAGGAAGTTTATTCTCTGTGTGGCAGGAGGGCAGGGAGGGGGAAGACAGATTAATGAGTGCTACAGTAAAACAAAGGAAAACTGGAGTTGGGGAATGTTACCTGGAGACCAGAGGAGGGTCACCGCGCCCCAGAGGTTAAAACAGTCAATGAAATAACATGTGATTATGTATGGAACAAGCTGTACCCCCCACTTCTGTAACCTGCTCTAATTGGTATATAAGGAAAGCCCCCTTTGTTCTTGGGGCTCAGCCCTTGGACACGAGTCTGCCGAGGTGTTGCCACCTTGCTTAATAAACTTGCTTTCTGAAAGCTTTGGTGCCCTCCTGTAGTCCTCCTTGTAGTAGAAAAGAGTTATTGGGTGGGGTGGGATGGGGGAGAACATAGACAGAAAGCATCTTCCTTTTCAAGTCTGTAGCTCCCTTTATCTCTTTCTACTCAACAACACATCCTGGGGATACTTCCTGAAGGAACCTGCCAGAAAGTGGTCTCTCCCGTTCGTCTGGTTGTCAAGATGGGGTAAGGTTCAGTCCTTGTCTTTACTGGGAAAGACACAGGTGCAGAGGGAGGAGAGAGAAGAAAATGGATTCCCCAAATCCCAGGATTCTGTTTGGGTTTGTTTGTAAAGGTGAAATTAAGTGTTGGCATATTTAGCAATAACCCAGATGGAAACACTTGAATTGATCCTATGTTTGTTTAATGGGAAAACAGCTGAACTAAGACCTAGTAGGTGGGAAACAAAGTACCAGTGTGGGGCAGAAAAATAAAAATACATCAGAGAAAAGGAACTGCTCATGAGCTTGGAACTTTAAATCACTGTCTATCTACTTGCACACCCTACTTGGCTCAGCATTAGTCTTGCTCACCAGCCATGGATTCCCCTCTCTTAGGTTCCTTGTTCTGCAGTTACGTGACTTTTTTCAGTTTCTTGTGTATAACTGGCAGATGGAATACACACTTCTGCCTGTCCTGGAAGAACAAACATTAATATAAAATTAATAAGTTAGGATTCATATCTAGTAGGAGTCTTAAAGAAGGCTTGAAGTCTATAATAATTACCTTCCAACAGAAAGTCATAATAAAAGAACTGTGCTGATGGGCTTCACTTCCTGGGTTTCTGGATTCCAACTGCAGTTAATAGGGCTCTTTATGCCATTATCAATGTGTAAAAAGTTTAAGGGAGATCAACAGAGTCACTTCTGCTTTGGCCACACAAGAGTAACCAAAGGTCTTTTTTTTCCCCCATTAGAAACATCCTCCTATAGGAAACCAGCCAATTTTATTACCTAGTAAATAAGTTTATATATATATATATATATATATATATATATATGTATATATGTATATATATGTATATATATATTTGTATGTATGTACATGAAATAGAATAATGAATAGATGACATTCTTGACTTTGAAAAGTTTAGAAATCATTAGTTTTGATCATTCCCCTTTTTTGATAAGAGAAAAGAAATTGTGGGATGTCACGTGACAGATATTTCATGGTAGAGTCATGTCTGTAACTCAGGCCTCTTGGCTATGTGTTCAGCAATTGTTTTATAGCCCTGTAGCAACTCTCCCTTCATGGGAAAATCATTGTGTGAAGGACAGACTAAATTTCCTAAATGCTTGGACAAAGGTAAGGAGGAGGAAATAATAGAGAGGAAAATTTTTGCTCTGCATCACAAAGAACTTTTAAACATGGTTGGTAGTCTTCAACCACGGAAGGTGCCTTGGGAGTGTATGCAAAAATTAAATAAGGATGTGTATGAAAAAATTAAAATGACCAAAGGGAAAAATAAAAGCTTTTTGGGGGTGTTCTGTGTCATGTTTCATCCTGTGATGACCTTGTCTAATATATCCTTCTGGGTTATCTGATTTTACAGTGGTCTGTGCCTTTAATGATCTTTTAGCTATTTCCCAACTCTGTAAGTTATAGAAATGCAAATGATCCTGTCCATAGCGATGCAAATGAACTGTGGGAAACGCACCTGAGTCCCCACCTTGTGAAATCCAGTTTTGCATTGCCTAACTTATTCATTTCAGCATTCCCGTTCCCTCTACATATCTGCTATTTGGATTCTCTTCTGGATAGTTTTAACTCCTTTCTCGTTCCCTCATTAATTAATGGACAAAATAATATCTTTGATGTGTGTTCATTTTCTATTTGTACTTTGAAAGCAATTATGTTTTAACAGGAAGCCCTGGATGTGTTCAGGCCGAGGATAAATGACTACTACGGCCCTTTTCAGGTTTCATACATAAAGAGTTGTTCACATCTCTGTCTCCTTTAGAAGACTCTGTTCTCCTGAAGCGCGGGAAACCTCACTATCCCCAAGTTAACAAAAAACGTAAGGAATGGAGGTGGGAAATTATTTCTGACTTACCGTTTCATTTACGACCACGAGGGGGCGCGGAAGCCTTCGCGTTAATAGAGACCGGCCAGTACACCCAGCGAACGCAGGGGACAGAAGGCTTGTGGCAGACGTCAGAGAGAGGATTACGACTGAGAACCGCAGGGCCAGTTCAAACAGCCCAACCCCTGCCGTGGCCATGCAGACCATATCTTTATGGCAGCCGGTGAATCAGCGTGGAGTAAGCAATCGCATTAGAGGGCAAAGTCCTGCTAGAATTACGAAAATATTTAACCAGAATGCATAGAGTAAGTCCCTTTCCTAACTTAAGAGCTAAATTTTCGGCTCGTTAGTCTCACCCTTGAGCTCCAATTCGCTCAATATATCGTTTGCTCCAAATAATAATAATTTTTTTTTCATTTTTCTTTTATTATTCATATGTGCATACATGGATTGGTTCATTTCTCCCCACTGCCCCCACCAAATAATAATAATAATAATAATAATAATAATAATAATAATAATGAAGAGAAGAGAAGGAAACGGTGGAGGACACGAGATAAAGAGTTGAGAAGGTGTGAGAAGAACCAGTTACTATTTTTTTTCAGGAAGTATAAAACACCTGGCCATCTCTCCACCACGTAGGAAATGAGGAGGGCTCAGGCTCTCCAATACAAACATCTTTATCTTTCAACCCCGCTCTGTAGGTTATGAATCAGTCACTCCTCTGACACTGACTTCACAGCCACCTCCAAAGCAGGTATCATCTCCGATGTACAGATAGGGAAACAAAGTCCCCTTGAGAAACAGAGCTTTTCCAAAGTTATACAATTTGTTAGTGGCAGGTGTCTGACTTCAATACCGAACCACTTACATTTCTCCGCGGGGCCCTCCGACCGCATAAAATCTAAAGTCCTTTCCCCAGCTGACCCGCTCTGCCTCACCCGCAGTTACTCCTCCCGAACGGCCTGTGTTACCTGGAATGCCCTTCCTCCAGGAGGAACATCTCTTGGGTATCATCAGAGCATTTTCCTCCCACCTAAGGCTAGCAGAAGAATATCTGTCTTCGGGAGATTGTCCCAACCTAGAAATGCTGAGGGCCGAGTCTAGTATGGATAGTGAATGGAAAAAAATGGAATCGAGGCCAAACAGAACTCCTTGTTGTGCTCGGCCCAGCGGCGGAATCTAGCAGTGCCAGAGCCTCTACTTCTTTCTAGGGGATCTCGAGTTGGGAAGGTGGGGTTGGGAACTGTGGCCTGGCAGCTCTGGGCGCGGGCCCTTTAAGGAGGAGCGCGGGGCGCGGCCCAGGTAAGGGGCGGGTCCGGGCGGAGGAGCGCTGCGCGCCGGCGCTGGCCGGGAGCCGGATTTGGAGCGCGGCGCGGGCGGGGGCCGGAGGTGGGGGCGCGGCCGACCTCGGTGGCCTGGGACGCTCCTCCTAGCTAGCGGCCGCCGCCCGCCTCCGCCTGCGCCTGCAGCTCCCTTGCCCCGGCTGGGACCGGCAGACACTTGTGGTGATTCACCTGGGACGCGCTCACCTGTAACGCGGTCATCTGTAACGCGGTACCTGCCTTCCGGCACCTGGGCGCCAGGATGAAGGACCGGCTGGAGCAGCTGAAGGCCGTGAGTCCCTCAGTGCCTGGGGATCTGGCTGGCTGGGGGTGGCAGGGAATCGTGGAGTGGTGGAGCTATGTAGGAGAGGGGTTTCGCTTCGCTCACCATACCCAGGCTAGAGGGGCTGCGTCTGAGGCCTGTCCTCCCCTTGCCCCCACTGTATCCCTCATTGGTTCCTCACGCTTCCCTCCCCCGCAGTGTCATGTGTTCTGTGATTCATTCCCAAGCAGCGATTTCCCTGGACGCCTCTAACCCGGCCACCCCAGGCTGGACAGCGTCTCTCCAGAGCTGGGATCCTGGTGATGGTCGTGGTGGTGGTGGGAATGCTTTGGCCCAGTGGGACTCACCGTGAGGTCTGATGGGTCACCACTTGCCTGCCACTCCCTGTCACTATACCCCAAACCGGCTTCCTCTTCCTTATTTCCCTCCCGCCCCCTCCCCCTGGAGCAGCTCAGAGTTCCGGTGAGGTGACCTCTCCTTCTGTGAGAGGGTCACGTGCTCAGATGGGTCCAGCTTCTCACTAACCGGTGGCCTGTTGCTGTTTTTCCTCCATTCCCTTGGGACAGCTGTGGTCCAGGCAGGCGGACCACCTCGAGCTCTGCTGCACAAACTCTGAACACCTTAAGCTAATTCCTCTTTTGAACCTGTTTCCTTATCTGTTTAGTGGGAATGATTATACTTTGGAGATTTGTTATAAGGATCAAATGACATAATAGGACCTGATATAGAGAAATGTTAAAGCACGAGTTTTTGAGACAGATATGCTTTGACTTATTTAACAAATAATGATTGAGTGCACTGTATGGGGCAGGACTTTTGTTAAACCTTGGGAGTTCAGTGTCACAGGCTCTACCTTAATGGAGTTTAAAATCTAGCCCTTGATACTCAAAGTGTTCATTTATTTGAGAGCGTAGTAGAAGTGCCTCAGCCTAGGCCCCAAGCTAGACCTACTGAATCTGATTCTTCCTGAATCATCCCAGGTGATTCATGAGCACCTGGAAAATTTGGGAAGCACTGGAATGGATTAGAACTGGGGTTTTCTCCTGGCTTCAGTGCTACCTCTTAAGTTCCAAGTCTAAGATTTGTTATCTGTAGAATGAGTAGTGCAAGCTAAAGGCAAGAGAGCATGCAGGTTCGAGAACCCTTTGTAGGGTGCGTGGCACACAGGACTTAATGGTAAATATTATGCTAACAACTGTAAATGCTCTTTGGAAAATAAGAGATGTTGGTGAATACTGGGATGATGTTGCAATTATTGTTCTTTCTCCTCCTTTGCTTGGGTGAGACCTTGATGACCCTGTCACATGCTCTGGATAGTAGGACTGCAGACGAGGCCAGGGAGCTGGGGAAATGAGAGAAGCGAAGGGACAGTTGCTTATTGTGGGAGCAAGCCTCCCTGCTATACTTGCTCCTTGTCTTCTGAGCTTCTGGGCTTCCTGGTTACCAAAAGGGCAGAATTTATTGACCCTGTTTTATAGATGGGGAAACTGGAGCTCGCCCTGGATAGGAGGGATGCCTCAGGACACTCAGCTGGTCAGGGCACAACCAAGAGAGGAATTCAGAGCCCTGATGCTCACTGTGGAGCTTCTCCCCTTGAAGCATGCTGGTTGGGGAGGCAGAAAGGAAAGAAGAGCCTGGCTTTGAAGGTTTTTCTGAATCAGCACACCCAGCAATCACAAAAAAGTGCAAAATTGAACAGCACTTACTTAGTGCTGTTCTCCCTTACTTAGGAGATCATTTCCAGAGAAAGATACTCCAGGGCCCTTTCAATAGCCCATTGTCAACAGCATAGAGTCTTAACTGAGCTTTGAGTTCTAAGAATAAATGCAAGCAAGTCCCTTTCCCTTCCAGTGCTTCATGGTTACCCTCTAAAATGGAGCTGATGATATGTTTCCCTTTACCTCTGGGGAATGTGGTGAAAGTGAGACGTAAGCAGTGCTGTTATTATGGGAGTATTGTTCTGACCTCACAAGGTGGGTGCTGTTGTGTTTTGGAGCAGAGAGACACATGGCAATGCAATTGAGAGGACTGGGATGCAGGTTCAGACGCTGTTAATTGTGGTCCTGCCTGTTAATAGATGTGTTCCTCTTCCTACTTTACCTCGGTGCTTCTTGATGCTTCCTTTGTAAAACAAGGACTTTGATCTCAGAAGTGCCTTCTGGCATTATTAATGATTTTTGTATGAAGACTGTGAAGGTTCATGTGGATTTTGGTCCATAGTCTACCTCGTCTACTCCTAGACCCTACCCCAGGAATCACCTTCCCTGCAAGAAGATATGCTATCTTCTGTAATTCCTGTTATCAGCAAAAATGCATTTACTAATCATGAAATAAATTTCACATCATTGAACAGCCTGTGCAAGCTCTTTCTAAACCCCAGTGGAGGGAAGGTGAAAACTTCTTCCTGATAGTTAGAGGGGTATTATGTGCATGAGATTACTTCGCTCTGGGTAGATACAAGGGGAAGATGTGGAGCCGATGGACAGAAATCAGAAACCTTTAAAACAGCATTTTTTGGTAGTTAGAGCTGCCCAGGGATGGGTTGGAGAGGTACTGAGCCCTCCATGAGAGATAGTCAAGAAGCTTGTTGGATGCTGAACATTGTAGGAATCTGAGAATCTTTTTGAGGGAGGGATAGTGAGCTAGGAGATTTTAAGGCCTCTGTGAACCCTGAGAATGTATGGTACTATAATATGCTTCATTGTTTGTGAGTCTGCCTTAAGGCTTTGGAGTCTATAAGGACTGAGGCCTCAGAGTTGCACCTATAAAATAGATCACCATCTTTTTCCCACCAAGGTCATCATGTAGGTAAAATGTGGTAATCTGTGACATTCAGCCATCATGATAAATGTGAGTTCTCTACACCTAGCCTGCTGGAAGCAATATCCACACTAAAGGGCATACCTTTCTAAGACTATAGTCACAAGACCTGACTTGCCTTATCTCTTGACTGCCCCTCTTGGGTGCTCCCTCAGTAGCTGCTTCTCAGTAATCTAGGAAGGGTTTGTAAGAATGTGCAGTGCCTACACCCTGCCTTTCTCTGCCTGATTTCTCAGTAGTTGAACTTTGAATCTGCTGAGTCTGGATATTCTTGGCTCAGGGACTTTTTGCCTGGCTCTGTGTTCATTCAGCAAACATTAACTGAATACCTACTGTGTGCCTGGCCTTGCAACAGGTGCTGTGGTATAGTGGTGACCAACATTTGTGTCTGGTCCTTGTGTCATGTATGTAGGGAGACACACAAGAAATAGATACTATGACACATATCTACAAGGTGCAAGTGTATGGTACTGCTGGTTTCCATGATCAGAACTTTTTGACTTTTATTTTCTCTGCTGGATATGATGTTAGGCAAAATTGTCATACAAAGTCCTAATTTTAAAGAGTAAGTGATCATATAGGGGAAACAAACAAATGTATTTCAGGAAAAGTGAACCAAAAGAAAATCAAAGATAGATAATAATGGAGAAGTCAGTGATGTGTAGAAAAGAGGTCAAGAACTTTGGACCCCATTGTAGACTGATCTATAGAAGGCTAGAAATGACTCGGACCCTCCAAGACCAGAAATAATAGACATATACTAGTGAAATCAATTGCTTGGAGGCTCTAAAGACCAGACTTACTTTTTTACTCTCTTTTTCCAATCTTGTGTCTTGCTACGTTCTAAAGAATTGCCCTTGGCATTCCCCCCTAGAAGTTCAGCTTTTTGTGGGATCAGAGTTCCTCAGGATAGTGTACTGTAATTCCATCAGAAATAATGTATTGTGTGTCCCCTTTAAGGCTTAATTTCATCAATAAATGTTCACTGAACCCCTACTCTGTGCTAGATGCTTTGGATAATAATCACTTGCCCTTCATTGAGATTCCATCCTTCTTTATTGACAGTTTCTTGTCAAGATTCTTTCCTCGCCTCCTCTCTGTACTTAGGAGGATTCATTTTCTGGGAGAGCTGTTTTGCTCTGAGCAGAAAGAAAGCAAAGCTGAGATGAGAGCAAGAGGGATTGAGTAGGGATTATAGACCCATCAGCTGGAGGCCAGAGAGAAAATGCTTGGATGAGAGAAGGGGATTAATTTTATTTTTATTCCTGGGAGCCTGGGGGAGGCAAGGAGGACTGGCAGGAACCAAGGGAACTATGCTTGTTCACATTGTCCTCTCTTCCTACCACTCCTTCCTCTCTGTCTTGTCAGAATTCCTACCCATCTTCCAAAATTCATTTTTTACAGGTAATTGCTCTTAACTGAGGCCTTGAGTACTATCCCTCCAGTCTTGCAGCTTGCACTGGCTGTATGTTGCTTTGCAATTAAATACTTTCCTATGATGTCAGTGGGTTTTTAAAAAATTTCCATGGAGTGGGTTTAAAACTACTTTCCATTTGTTTTTTATGAATGTACTCTTTGTCTTCTGTGTCCTATTATGTTTAAGACTTGTGATTCTAATACTTGTTGTCACCAATATCAACTGCAGTGATAATTATCATTTACTGAGCAGCTTACTATTGAATGGGACTTGTGTTTGGTGCCTTACATACTTTGTCTCTAATCCTCTTAATCCCACAGCAAGATGGTATAATATAACATTTCCATTTTGCAGGTGAGGGAGTTGAGGCTCAGATTTGACTGATAGCTGGGAAGTGGTGGAATCAAGAATTGAACACGTCTATCTTGCTTCTTTGTACCATCATCCTACAGTGTACTTGGTACTGTGTGCCCTGTGATGAGGTGGTAGGTAATGATATTCCTCCAGGGCCCACGTGCTGTGCTGGGCATGGTAGGCAGGGGTTATACATTTGTTTGTCAGCTGGTCTACAGCAGATGGACCCTTATTCATTATTATGATTTTTCTTGCTCTACTCCCTGAGGGTTAGTGAAGCTTTACCTGACTGATGTGGAACATTTACTCAAGGAATCCTTAAATTTGCTAATGAATCCAGAAGGCACTGGTTCACATTCAAGGATGGATGAGTTCCAAGTTTCCTACATTTACCTAAACCATCAATGCAAGATGACAT